AGCATCTCTGGAAAGGTCAACAATGCATTTGCAGCAATGAAGATTATCGCGTGTAAACGTGACTTGCAGCATTTAACTCAGACCAAGGATGGGTACTGTCATAACTGTTACGTAAGAGGCTTCACAGATTAGCTTTTCCCTAAAGATGATCTTTCCTCCCGTACATTTCTGACTGCTACGACTAGCTCCTTCATAACCCCTTTTGCTGTGATGATGAAACAAGATTTTGACACTTGATTGAGGCCATTGGGTGAGCTCCAACTCCATGCTGTTTGAAATATCTTATAACTTATATTTAGTCTCTGCATTACCGTCCCATGTGACTTGGATAATCCTTGACAGCCAAAACAAAGCCGTTCATCTTTTATCAGGATGTCACGACTAGTGGTCACGCCGCTTACATGCGCACATGCTGTCAAGTGCCGTACCCTCAGAAACTTTATTAACACAGAACAGTCTTCCAGCAGACAAAATTGCTCATCAAACCGACAAACTGATGGGCTTTCCATTGGGATTCATTGTATATGCTTATCCCTTAAGTGGAACATAGATGTTTTGCTTCATTGAGAATACTACTGCAATTAGGAATGGGTCACTATTCTCGTTTCTGCATATGGGGAAAAACGTCTTATGCAATGTCAGTGTCTTTGATTTCCTCTGTGTCTCTCTTAACAGCTGTTGTTGGAGGTGGACCAGAACACCAGCTTACAAAGTCTGCTTAATGTAAGCACAGCTCCGAAGGGTAGAGGGATGATCGGTTCATTCTGCCCAGGGGACGCCAGCCATCGCAACGTAATTAATGTGTATTTGGTCATCTGTTAAGGTACATCCTCTGACCTTAAACCCCTTGCTGTTCTCCTTTCCAGTTGGCCAGAAAGTTTGGGGGCTTGGCCGGTGGAAAAGTAAGATGAGTTGTGAGGAAAGAAGAGAGAGGAGAGTTGGGGGAAAAGAATGATGCTAATAAAACTGAAAGAAAACAGATAAAGATTAGTCTTAAAATGTACCTACAGCACATTGCATACTCCCATTGAAGCAAAGACTTACCTCTTTGTGACCTGCTGCTATGAGATGAGAGCTTTTGCAATTACACAAAGATTATAAAGCACATGACCCACTGAAAAATCCGCAACCCAAAAACAAAGCTAGCACAAAAATGCAATAGCAAAACCTGGCCATTTCATAAAAGCAAAGCCAACAAGCCAGAATACAAGGGAAGTAGGATTTTCCCTGCTGAGGGGAGTGTGAGAATCAATCAGGCTGAGACAGGTCTATGACAAAACATTCCCACAAGACAAGGAAGTGAATCCTGATTCATCGGTGGAGGAGGAGGAAGTGCAGCAGGTTTAGGCAAGATCACCCTTGCAACGCAGACATGGTCATCTAATACTATAGTAGATACAATCATCTTCCTGTCTCTCTCTCTCGTCAAGAGGTCTCTCTTTTTGGTCCAATGAAACATGATGAATACAGATTTGATATTAAACATCGAATTAAGAACAGTCTATCTTATCAGACATTATTGTTTTCAATTTCTGTTCCCACAGAGGTACTTGAGACTTGTCTTTAAGCAGGTTAGTTGACCTCTGGTCACTGTGATCGAGAATCCGGCCCATCCTTTTTCAAGAACTGTAAAACTGGAGTTTATCTGCAGTGTAATTGAATACTTATCAAATCTCAAAGCAGTACGCATTCTTAGAAATGATAAAATAAGTATAAAACAGCATTTGAAAGAGACCAAAGGGTAAAGAGCATGTGTACCAGTAAAGACTGTGTTTACATCACCTTTCACTAGTCAAGCTTTGTGATGTCCCAGATATCTGCAAGAAAACAAGGGAAAGCAAAAATGAGAATCAAAGGAACAGAACAACACACAAAAAGTCAACTGTCTGTGCATGCCATCATTCTTCTTCACTTTTGTGTTTTTCCGTGCAAGATGCTGTATGTATATTTATTTCAGGCTCTGAACAACAAATGCAAATGCAGCTAATGTGATTTATTTTACTCTCAAATACTACAGGTTTAGACACAGAAACAGAAAAGCATCCTGATTTATAGTTGCTAAGCTAATGGCAATACTCTAAGCATAAAAAATATAGCAAAAGAAAATATTTGCTTATAATGTTGTTTTTATCGATACTTTTCTTTTGAATGAGTTCATACATTATAGTTAACAAAATAATGATTATCAAACCATTATTATTTTTTTAAATATATAAATGTATTTTTTTTCACATTGCATTCTGGGATTGCCTTTTCCACAAAGAATATGTGCAATGCTTAAAAATGACCCATAAGAAAGCATCTTGGAACAGCTTCTATTGTCAAACTATTGTATGCATAATTCAAACCATTTTACGGTATGTCTACAGTTGAATTGCATCTTTCTCCTTGTCTCTTTTTCCTCTCTCCCTTTTTTTGTTATTTGAATGAATACTAGGGTGACTGGCGTGGCATCGTCATTTATTTATTATTCCTCTGAGGGGATCCAAGGACAGCGTTCATTCGGCGCAAGTCCTGTGATATTGAAGACTGCCAAGTTCTCCGCTGTCCTCCACACCGTACAACCTCTGTGACTTGGAATGTTTGCATTCATTATCTTATCTATCCTGACTAAATCAACCTAGTGATAAGTGTTGAGGCACTGAGGAAACGCTGCATACATCACAAAGAGAAATAAAGTCATAAAACCCTGTTGGCTATTGTCTACAAAAGAAAGTGGAGTGCATGAAATGATTCCAAGATGCTGCTCTAATTCCTTTTATCCGCAGATCATTATTCACTAATGCTTTACTGCTTTCTGGATGAATACCTCAGAGAGTGTCCGATTAAGAAATCATTTCACATGGAAGTCTGGAGCTAATGGACACCTGTAAAGGTACTGAGAGGAAAGGTGCATTGTTTGAAACTCTGTTGACCTCTGAGCTCTGTTCCAGATGAGGGATTGGTCTCACAGTAACTGCACTCACATTTTTTTTACGGCAGCTCCAAATAACAACTGTCAGATTCTCTCAGTTCAAAAAGGATCAAATTGAGATTTAAGAAAGCGCGTGTTGGTTTTTGTTCATTTAGTAATCCGCCCTGGCTGAGGTAGCTCAAAGGTCAGCCTGCTTGGTCCTACGGCACAGGAAAAAAGCATCTGTCAGCAACCCAAGCTCAAAACACTTTCATTACTCAAGGACAACTGCCACAAGTAGAAGGTTAGTTCCGCACGAATGGCCCAACATTCCTGAGGTGTCGCTCCATGTCTCAGAGTCAGCTGCTCAGAAAGGGTGACCTCCAAGCACCATTTACATTAGAGCGTCGTCCTGCTTCCTGGGTCACATGTGGCTGTCCCATTTCAGCAGTGTCTTGAATCGGAACAACTCTCTCCTTTCCTGAAGTGGCTCCTCTGTTTCTCCCCAAGGAAAGCACTGAGAGAGACTCTCGTTTAGGTCAATGGAGCAGCAGCCCACAGATCAATGGCTGTGCACTGTCACATAGGGAGTGGGATACAAGGGGAGATGATAAGCTTCCATCTAATTACACGGCAAGGCCGTTTCAAGGCTGCTCAGACCCTTATTCAGCGCACTTCTGAAGCAATCATCATGCATTCTGATGCACTAAAGCAGGTGATTTGTAAAAGCACTATTGTAAGCAGTGTAAACACAGGGGAATCAAAACTAAGAGCACAGAACATGTGAACTAGATTTTATTTTCTCGCCAATATGTTTCTCGGGCATTATCAAAAGTGCATAGTTTAATGATATTTACATATAACTAACACCCCTTTATTGTGAAATAACTCTTTTTTTTCAACATTAATTTGTTAACATTACTGCATTAAGTATCATAAACAACAGAAAGAACAATGAACAATACATTCACATCTTTTATTAATCTAGGTTACATACTACATGCTCATACATTTTCATTTATCATAGAAATATAAATCAAGTTGTTTGATGTTATTTTTAACATTAGGCCACACTTTATTCTAAGGCTCAGTTGTCACTATTAACTAACTATTATCTATGACTTTTGCCTTAATAATCAACTAATTTGTTGTTTATTAATAGTAAGGAATTTGTTAAGTTTAGGTACAGTATGGGGTAGGATTAAGGAATCTAAAATATGGTCATGCAGAATAAGGCATTAATATGTGCTTTATTCATACTAATAAACAGCCAATATGTTAGTAACATGCATGCTAGTTAAAAGTGAGAATTGGACCTTAAAATAAAATGTTACCGTTACATATTATTATCTGGATTATTGGTAACACTTTATTTCAATATGTCCTTGTTATGCATTACATGTATTTATGCACAAATTCATTGCAAGCAACTAGCCAAACCCTATCCCCAGGGCCGTTTCTAGGCATAGGCGAGCTGGGCGGTCGCCTAGGGCGCCACCAGCTGAAGGGGCGCCAATGAGCGCACGTACTGGCACTTTTAGCAGGGTTGTGATAAAGAGTGGCACGGTCACCCTGAAATATGACTGCCCCCACATTATTGGGCTAGGGTACTGTCAATCTGACGATGCCTGTAAGCCACTAGATCAGAGTGCTGTCAGTTGCTGCCTGATTGTTGCATGCAAAGTTTGCATTTGGAGCACTCAACAATGCCATTAGATCAGTGCGCTCTGTCAGTGCTTTGGAAAGGTAACACTTTTTTTTGCCATACAATAAAGCTAAGTTCAAAGGCCAATTTAATCAGTATTTTGTTTAGGCAGTATTTGTGGCAAATTTGTCCAAAAGGTGTGTGTTTTTGCGCCAATGCATTGTTAAAGGATCAGTGTGTCATGTAATATTCCCATATAAACTTTAACATCCAATTAAAGAATATTTG